CCACAGACAGGAGCCCACAGGCAGGAGCCCACAGACAGGAGCCCACATGCTATGGAGCAAAATTGGAGTCAAAAACGAGTGTGAATGTTATTCAAGTGTGACTCCAAATTCACTCCATAGCAGGTACCTGGAGGTTTCACATGTGGAGTCGGACAACAACAAGCAGGGACAGAGTCGGGCTCGGAACCATCAAATAGGGGTGAGGGGGTGTAGGATGCTTGACAGAAGTGGAGTGTTTACAAATATATTTAAATGTAGATGTTTAACAACCCACATACAACAAAATTCAGGAAATTGCATCTACTTTATTCAAAAATTTCTGGGGATGGACCTCCAGACCCCCCCCCCCCCCCCATTTGTGTTCCAGTATCAACTGATTGTATGAATTATGGCCTGGGACCTGAATTAACTGTTGACTCAACCTAAGATTTGAACCAGAACCTGGGGATCATATCCAACATAAAATAGTTGGCTAAATCGTCAGTTGTTTGTCGACACAACACTGATTTTCAGTTCTGGAGCCGTTTTATATCTGAAAGATTCATAAAGGACGTCAGGGTTCGGTGGCAAAGCAGCAAAAATCTCATTCCTCAGAAAATGATCAAGTACGATAAGAAAACTTGGAAAAGCAGCCCAAGTTAAAACAAACAAAACAAACTTCGAAAGAATTTCATAAAGCCAGAACTTTGATCAACTCTAAAATAATAAAAGAATATCTGTCTCTTTGGAAACAAATTACCTGCCCAGCTTTACCTGAAGGAATGCTTTTAGATTAAATGAACTTGTGTTGAGACATTATGGAGCTGAAACTGATCCAACCTCGAAAATAACATGCAATTTCACAGAGTCTGTGACATAAATGACTCTCAGCTACTACCACCTCAAATTATAGATCAGTTTATATAGTTTATATTATAGCTACAATTTACCCCGTTATAATCATTTTGTGTTGGCTAATGTCAGCTAGCATTGGTGGCCATTTTAGACTAGGTTGACCTTAAAGAATAATCAGCTGTAGAGGTCAGTCCAATGATTATTTTGGAAGTTTCACAAAAATCTGTTCTCACAAGCAGCTTTGTTAACAGATGAACAGGTCGACACCAACAATTAACGCAGACGTTTTACATAAAAATAATGTGCAAAACTTTGAATATGTGTTGTGGATGACTCTCAGCTACTACCACATCCAATTTTAAATCAATATATCTGTAAAACTGACTGAGTTCTAGCCATTTCTATATAAAATAAATAAAATATCCCCAAAACATCATCACCTGGTTTCAGTATGCTCTTTCACAGAACTGCAATCTCACATAAGATACCTGTAAACCAGGGGTTCCCAACCCTGGTCCTTGAGGAACGCCACCCTGCATGTTTTACTTGTTTCTCTGCTCTGACACACCTGATTTTAATAAATGGGTGATTTCTGCAGAACATGAGGAAGTAATTAAATCACTGAATCAGGTGGAGCAGGGAAACAAGTAAAACATGCAGGATGGTGTTCCTCAAGGACCAGTATTGGGAATCACTGCTAAACATACCAACTATCCTTAAATGATTAACAATATCTGTGCAGCCAGTATTTTTCCAGTCCCTTTATACAAATGTCATTTTGAACGGTCTCTTCAGACTAACACATGTATTTCAAGCTCTATCTAAAGGTTTCAATAATTTCACCCTGGTCCATTTTCAACCTCATGTCTTATCTCTTATCATTACAGTCTGTCTCTGCCTTTCAGACCATGCTGCATCCCTTCAGCTGCTGCAGCCCTCACCCTTCAGCTGCAGTCCTCCAGGACCATGAGGCTTCAGCACTTTAACAGCTTGAGCCCCTGCAGAGGAATTCTCCACGGAAGAGCTCAAAACCCTGATCCAACACCTGAGCGAGAAGCTGTTTGTTCCGATTGCTTTCCTTTGCTTACTTTAGTGCCAGACATGATGAGATCAGACATTCTGAGACAAGGATTTACTTTCACACATGCCAGAACTGCTCGAACATCCCAGAATAGAGTCTTTAAATTACAGAAGCTGTTAGATCCAGCTGTTTGTAACGAGGTGCATGATTCACACACCTCCACCTCCTTCAGTGAAAATGAGTTTGATTTACAACAAAGAAGTTGAATCAACGCATCAGTTCGTCCTGGAGGCAAATTAAAGGTTCTACTGTTTTAGCAGAACCCCAAACTCTGCTGTTATTTCCTGTAGCTGTGGGAAACAAACAGATGGTGTTACTGTCTACGTCAGGCACGTAGCACCCCCTCCTCTCTTTGTGTTGTTGCTGACTCACAGTTACAGCCCCTGAATCTGCTGCCAGCTTGCATTATTTACACAATCACCACTCGCTGCTGGTGCCTCCTCAGCACCCAGTCTGAAACCAGCTGAGCTGCTGACCACCACGGGGAGCACGCTTCACCCCAGGACAGCTGCTGAGATGAGAAACCAGAGTGTATGTCTTAAAAAACATTTTTTTGATGATTAAAAACTCTTGTTTTCGACATCTTCCTGTTTGAGCCTCTGCTTCATGTTGTCCTGCCTTCACTTCACTTCAAGGGTCAGAGTTTTATTTTCTGACTCGAGGTCGCACGTTTTAAAGTAGCAGCAGCTCAGCAGCCCTTAGCATGACACATTCTCCTCCATGTTTTACAGTGGGGTCCACTCATCCCATCCTGTAACCTATAGAGGCACGATGCATTTAAAAGACAAAGAGGAGATATGCAGTTAGAGAGGACATGGAGGTAGTTGGGGTGAAGACAGAGGATGCAGAGATGAAGGAGGATGACTCGCTGTGGAGACTCCAGAAGAGGAAACAACAGAAAGAAGAAACATGATGCATTCATGCGTCACTTTTGGTGGCGAGCAATAAAGCTCCTGAGAGGCAAAATCAACATGAACCTAAATGAACTTGATTATGTCGGTTTACCAAACAAAAGAAAAATGCTGAATGTACAGTACTTATATAGCGCCTTTCTATCTCATTTCAAGATACTCAAAGTACTTTACACTACAATCTGTGCCTCATTTACCCGTTCATACAGAACTATACTAGATCTCTACAAAGTTAATTGAACAAATCATTCTAAAGAGACTAATCAGTGCTTTGGATCACATTTATACACTGATGGGACACACATCAGAGGCTATGAGGGGTTCAGTGTCTTGCCCAGGGACACTTCAGCATGTGACTGCTGGTGGATTTGAACCCCCAACTCTTGCATTGGACGACTGCTCTAACCACTCAGCCACAGCCACCCTTGAATGAGTAATTTTATAAACTGCAATGGGAAAAAAAATGTCTGAAAACACAATTATCCATAACATTTTCATTTTTTTTCTCCATATGTATCCTGATCTGGACCATTCTAAAACTAATTGATGTACTCCAAAACAGTTAAGTCAGGTCATCTGGGCATACCTGGACGACTGATTCATCAGAGCATTTTGAACCACTTTGGCCAAGTTTGCCTCATGCTAGTTCTGTGAATAACAAGTGGTCATCAGAGCACTAACAATGGAATGTTAGACTGATGGTCCTCCTTTAATATACTGTACTTGCCGCCATACACGTCATACCACCGTATAAGTTGCATCTATTATGCGTCACTGCTGGCCACCCGGAAATGTGAGCCAGTGTTGTGCCAAAAATCAATTGGCTGCCAAATGGCGGCCGTGGGAGCGTGCACAGGAGGACTTTAACAAGAATTTAACAAGATTAACATTTAAAAATAATTGTTTGCTGGACATTACAGGTGCTGTTCAGTTTAACTTTCTTTTAATAAATGCACTTTAATGGTCAAATCAGCTGCATTTCACCTGGGCAGCGTGGTGAAATGCAGCTGATTTGACGTTTGCTCCAGGAGTTCCGGAGCGAGACGAAGGTGGTTTGGTATGGCAAGACAAGTGTCTCATTAATAGCCACCTTTACTTATTAATGAGACACTTGGCTTGTCATATAAGTGCCCTCTAGCAGCTGAAAATGGTGTGTTCATTATTTTCCATACCAGAATGAATGAAATTGTCAGATCTCAGCCAAAAATTAGTTTATAAATATGAGAAAAAACAAAACATACATTGCTTCACTGTATAAGTCACAGGCACGCTAATTTATGCTAAAAGGTGCGACTTATACAGCGAAAAATACTGGATGTAAAAAAGCTAGTTCTGGAAGTCCCCAGCAAACTGGTTAATCCACTTTGAGAAGGTGATTTTTATAGGACTGAGTTTGTCGCATGGCCTCAGACTGATGAAGTCTTTCGGATGAAACGTTTCAACCAAGGATCCGTCCACAGGACCTGACTAACTTAGTAGGATCTGGATGATTGAGCATGCATCAGGACATAATTGCTGTACTTTTCAAAACTAAGCAGGAACCCTGCCAACACCATCACAAACAGCAGGACACTAAGGACGAGTGGAGTTTCATCCCTTCAGAAAACACGCAGAACCTGCAGACCTCAGAGCAGATCTGCATTAAAGCTGCTCCTGCTGACCCAATAGCTTACTAACACACTTCACGTTGGTGCAAACTTTATCCAAGTTAATACCTGCTCTTTAAGTTTAAAAAACAATGTCTAAATTAAAAAAATGTTTATGCAACACTTGCAACCTGAACAAAAGCACTTTGGTGTAGCAGCTGCAGATAAAGGTGGTCTTGTAGTGAAACGGTTTCCACGTGTGTGAAACTGAAGGGAGTGATTCTGCTCCTCTCAGCACGTAAACAAGACAAATGTGTGCTGCAGGACGGTGCAGGGCTGCACACCGAAGGACAGAGCATGCTCTGCTCTCTGCAGCACCAACACACCCTGAAACGACCAGTACTGAGCTCATACAAAGAAGTGATTCCAGTGAAGTCTGAAACAACTCCACCGTGTGTCATTCAGCGTCACCTTGTGCCTCAGCTCTGACTGCAGAGCTTCCACAGGACTGAGAGAAAACACGCCTTCTAGTGGAGGAGACACAAACACCAGCCTGAGAAGAAAAGAAAAGGCACACTCTTGGTTTTCAGTTTTATTTAAGGTTTATTTTTTTCCAGACCTGCAGAGGACAGTTCGCTTTCTGGAAGCGCTTCAGGAGTCGTTTCATTTTTCCTCGCAACATCATGTTAAAAAACCCACTGTATGACGGTTGGTTTCTCCTGGATGACTTTGTTCATCTTTGTGAATACTGTTAAATAGGGGACAACGGGGGGAAAGGGTGGGGCGGGTAACAGAGAAAAAGAGTGAACACGATTCAGAATTAAGACTTCAAAAAAGGAAAGGTGGCGGTGGGCGGAGGTTGATCTCAGTTGGAAAGTCCGAGGGCTCGTTGATTGGTTACTACAGTACTCGGTATGATCTTGCAGCACCTTTGTGATTCCACTTCCATCCAGCTGCTGACGTCACATACGTTATTGCATATTTCTCAGCAGTCACTGACACTCCCTGTCCCAACACTCGAGCTCCTTCCTCTCACCTGTCTATTTTAAGGCCTCGTGTAAGCCCTCGTGGGTTGAACAAAGGGACCCGTTAACCTCTTTACCCTCATTAATATGTTGGACGTCTCGTCACCGCCCTGCCCTGTCGTGTGGTGGCTGTCCATGTTAGGGCTAGTGTTGTAGGTACCACACAGTGGCACGGTTAGAGTCTAACCCTAGTGCTCAGGATGTGTGCCATGATCTCCCACAGCCCCGGCTCCCTGTGGTAAGGCGCTGCTCTATCCTCTGATACAGAGGTTCAGCAAAATTCTCCCTCCAGCAGGATGGGACCCGTGGGAGCCCCTCACTGAAGAGAGTGAGCCAAGTGGCCTCTCAGGCAGGCCATTTGTGTCCGTACCCAACAGGGAGCCCATGCATAGCCTGTGCTCTCCCCGCCAGGGGCGTCTGCATTCACTCACTAATCAAATCTCACTCTTTTCTCTTCAACCCACTCTGAAATAAAAGCTACGGGCCAACCCGTCATGTCTCCGTCACCTTGCCTGGATCACAACATGGCTGTTAACCGTTTCAGTCTCCTCTGAAGAGTGGGGGCAATGAGGGTCTTTGGGGCAAAGCTTCAAAGAGCAGATTCACAGCTTGCTTTACTCCTCAAAAAACTAATCATGACTGGAACTTCAATAAAACAAATGATTTCATGCTTATTCATTAGTTATATTTTTATTTTTAAAATGACCTCACTTCTGCTCATTTGTTTCTTTGCCAGTTTTTGGAGTTAGCTTGAGTCACCACTGGGCACCTTTTAATGCTCTGATTCTTGTGCCCCCTGCTGACAGTGAGATCCACAATGAATCCCACGTTACGCCCAGAACGGGTCTACGGAGTGGCGGGAGACAAACGTACTGAGAACTTGTGCGCCACAAACAAAAACAATCAGGCCTTTAAGAGTAGACACAAAGGAAGGAGGAAGAGAAAAAAGAAAGCAAGTTTGTTACTTTGTTAATTTTTCATACTCTGCAGATTGGTGTGCATTGCGTCAGGGGAAGGAAGTGGGGGGTACAGGATGAGTGGGTTTGAAGTGGGAGGAGGTGGGGAATGGATGGGTGTCTGCTCCAGTCTGTTCAGTGGCGATCCACGGCGGCACTCTGTAGTAGCTCTGTGGCTGGCTGTCCTGGGGGTCTGAAGGCGGTCTGGAAGCCTGGGGGAGGAGAATGGAACTGACTGGCGGGGTTGGCTGTGGGAGGAGGCAGGTAGGGAGCCCAGCCGCTGGGGGCTCTGTGATGGAGGGGGAGGTGGCTGTCGAGGAGGCTGCTGTGGAGGGGCTGGGGCGTGGGCACAGCTGAGCTGGCAGGGCCGTCCATCTCTGTGAGCGCCTGCAGGGACTTGAGCCAGTGTGGAGGGTTGTCGTCCTGGAGACAGTCTAAACTGTTGCCTGCTGAGGCCGGGATGCCTGTGGGGGGGCACAGAGACGGATCACGAGACAAGAAGTGGTAAAGATGCCAGAGAGAGAACTTAGGCAGCTAAACTTCAAAGCCAAAAAAAGTTGTATTTGTAATGAAAGTAACTAGAAAGATAAACTAAAGGTTTCATCAAATAAAATCATTTTTCTGATATTTACCAGGAATTTCCTTTCAAAATCACGTGTTTTCATGAGTTATCACTATAGTTACAGTCACAACATTTTTATTTTCACAAATTAAGTTATCAACCCATGAAAACAGTGACGGAGGCTCAAACCTGCAGGTTGAACACAAACTTTAATAAAACACCAATTAAAAGCAGAAAAACACAAACAGCCTCACTGACCATTTTACTCAGTTTATCCCCTTGTAACTAAAATGTTAAACAATTACAGTCAAATTATGCAATTAGCCAACAATTTAAACCTCAACTTGTAGAGGTTGACCAATAAGAAGTTGTCTCTAGCCAGCGGTGACCTTCAGACATGAAGGCAGCCGATGTACAGGTGCTGGTCAAAAAACTTCAATGTCGTGAGAAAGTTGATTTATTTCAGTAAAAAAGTGAAACCTGTATATTATATTCATTCATTACACACAGGCTGATATATTTCAAATGTTTATTTTAATGTTAATTATTATAACTGACAACTAATGAAAACCCCAAATTTAGTATCTCAGAAAATTAGATAAAAAAAAAAACACTTTTTGAATGGAATTACTGAAATAAACTTTTCATTTCTAATTTTATGACCAGCACCTTCACAAGTTGATATCTAGTTCTCCTTTAATAAAACGTTTGCTCAGCTTAAACAGACGTATATTTAATAACCCTTTAAGAACTTCTAGACTGCAAAAAATATAGAGAAGGGCATTCTCACCTAAAAACCTAAAAGCATCTTCCTTTTTCTAGTTGGTATCTGATTCCATGTGAAGCTGGGCCATCTGCAGATTGTTTAAGTGGCCAACATCAGCAAATTAAAATCAGTTGGCCATTTATTCAGTCTTTATTCTAATAAACACACAGCATGACAGTGGTTTACCAACCTTTTCTCTTAGAAGACTCCTAAAAATAAGCTAAATTCAGTTAGTTCATTAGAAACTCTTTTCAAAACATTTTATTACCCAATAAAGCCAAAAGCCACCTGGCTCTGAACTTCTGAGCAGCGATGAGATGTCAGGGTGTTTGAGTTTATCATCAGTTGTTGTGTTGACCGTTACAAGTCTCCCTACAGGGGAACTGACTGGACGTGACCCTAAAACCCCAGGTTTGATCCGAGTTCTACATCTTGATGTTTGACAAAAAAAAAAAAAAAAACTTTTGGGTTTTGCTTTTCCAGGAATTTTTTTCTTTAGACACTGAATCAGTCTGAAGGCAGGTGAGCTCCTCAATATAGTCGAGATAAACTAAGTCTTCTTTGTTGAAACAACTCACGATTCATTTTAAAGGAACATGAGGTGTTGGTAAAACACAACACAACTTTTCAAAGCCACTGGATTATTTTATCTGCAGTGCACACTGATCCAGCTCCTCACTTGACAACGTTTCACTTGAGTTTGTGTGGGATGATGCAAAACACGGCACTGGCCTGTTGGTCTCGATGTGATGACTGATTATGCCCATGGTAAAAGAAGTTTTGATCACAACTCATATCAAAGTTGTTGCGCTACAGGAGCCACTCAATTATTTTTTTCACATTGTGTATCCAGCTAAATATTATAAACCCCTATGTTCTGTGGCAAACGTCAACAAGTAATCCAAACTTGTTTTAAAAATTAATTTATACGAAGTTTCAAGCTGGTGCTTTGGAAACAGCCCTTCACTTCCATATACGAGCTGTGACATCATAACAGGGTCCGGATCAGGTGAGACAGACAGCACACCTGTCGTATCTTTCTCCTTTCTGGCTTGAATACTTGTGGCAGGAACAAAAGGACGAATCAGTGTAGTGCTGGGCAATATATCGAATATACTTGACGCATCGCAAGTTTTTCAACTTACAATGGTTAAAATGGCTCCATCGCACCTATCGAGTATAATTAGACTTGAAAATCAGTGTGGCTCTTTTTCTCCCGTCTGCGCCAACTGCACACAACACCTTCTCCCTCATGGACTACAAACCCAGCCCCTCACCTGCGCACGCTCCCCCCGCTTCCTGTTTCTCCAGGTGGTCGGCAGTGTTGCCAGATTGGGCGGTTTACTGCACAACTGGGCGGTTTTCATTCTGATTTTGTGGGTAAAAATTGCTTTGGGCAGGTGTGGATAATTTGGGCAGAATTGGAGTCAGATCGACGGTTTTTGCTTTAACCTATTAAAAACACATTTCAACCCATCATTCATCATTATTGGTTCATAGCAAAGCACCCCTGACCTTTCTCCATCATTGACTGGCTTTTGTCATCTGCCAGGGCGTTGACAACAGAGAACTGGTGAGGCGGTGCCATACATTTTGTTACTTTAAGCAGCAGGTTTTTTGTTCCAGCCCATAATCTAATCACATTAAAAAGGTAAGTATTCAATATCAACAATACAAAGTTTAATTATTTCAGTTACGTAGAAATAAGCTTAGCATATTTGTATGCAAACACTGATCATAGTTTGTGTCTTCTAAATGTGAAAAGAGGAGCAGTCTACGTGGTTGTTATGAATCCATCTGCAAACATGTTAGTATGGGATGTGTCATGTGACACTCACTGGATCTGACGTTGCTGTGGTGGCTGGGTCAGAGTCATTTACAGAGAACAACTCTGGGGAGATTTTGTTGTGTTTTGCCACATATGTTAAATGACCTTGGCTTGTACTGATGTGCGTTCATGTTCAAACAGTAAATAGAATATATAGATTGGGCGGGTTTTTGTGTGATGTGGTGGTTTTTAACAGATTTTTGGGCTGGAAACCCTCGACTATCTGGCAACATTGGTGGGTGGGAGTTTAGCAGAAGTAAACACAGGAGAGGATATCAAAATGCAGCTTAGTCGCTGAGCAAAGAAGAAAACAATGGCTGTTATTGGGAGATGGTTTGGATTTAAATCATCAGATGAGCAGAAGAAAAATGTTTTCTGTAGACAATGCTGAAAACAAGTCCCGACATAAGGTCGGCACTACCAATCTTTTTCACCATTTAAAACAGCGCTATAAGTGGAGTATGAAGCACGTGTGAAGCTGTAGCTGCAGCTCCGACTGACTTCAGCCTCCTTCCCTGAGACACACCACGGGTCACAACTCCTTTAGTCGTGCTGTGCCTTATGAGAGGAACAGTCGGAGGCGGTGTGACATTAATAAAGCAGCAGCTTATCATATCGCTAAAGACACAGCCCCAGTGTCAACAGTGGAACAAGACGGCTAACTTTAGCCGTCTTGTTAGCCACTAACGACCGTGTCTTTAGTGATATGATAAGCTGCTGCTTTATTAATGTCGCACCGCCTCCGACTGCAAGACTTGAAAATCTGTTTAGCTCTTTTTCTGCCCGTCTGCACCACCAACGTCCCGCAGCCCGTCCTCCCTCCCTGAATACAAATACAGACCGTAACGTGCTGCTTCACACGCTAACTAAAGTCGTGAAGGCAGCGCCACTGAAGAGGATAATTATTTAATATATGCTAATAAATGTCTAAAATACAAACTTTAATATATGTAAATAGTTTATTTTTTAGACATTTATTTTGTACAGTTAGTATGCCTGTGTGACAATTGGGACAAAGCTTTGACTCAGAAATATACCGTAGTTTTGTTATTACTTTATGGAAAGAAAAACAATATTAAGATATAGAATTGTATATCGTGATTTATCTTAAAAATATTGAGATATTAATTTTGGTCCATATCGCCCAGCCCTAAATCAGTGTGTTGCACAGTTCTGTGGAAATACAGCCAAGGAGGGAGTTTGCTTCCATTACTCCCCAAAAATCCAAGAGAAATGGGTAAAGTTTGCCCGAGTGAAACGGCTGACTTCACTTCACTGCACCAAGACCTACCAAGGTACTGAACATTTTCAACTGGAGGATTACGAGTCAGCGATGATGCAGGCATTTGGATTTTATGGTACCAGACTGAGGAAAGATGCTGTGTCAAATATTCAGGCAGATCCACGGTGCACAGGACATGGGAAGCTGCCATGCTGTCAGTGATGTCAGCCTTCCTCAGTCATTGGTCATGTGCTCAAGTGTTACAATATCTGGTTTGTTATTTTAGTTTTACACTTACTTGGCCCAAATGTGAAACACATATAACCATCGTATTCTACTACTGTGATGACCTGTTAGGGCACTTGGTACTATAATGGAGGGTGTTGGACTTTAATGTTGCTGTGGGCACTTTACTTTTCTTTTGTTTCATAATGTCCCAAATGTTTGCCTTCTTTTTGTCCTTATTCTCCTTGTTCTTCTGTTGCACAAAAGACGATTGTTGATCGTGAAGCATAGTGCCATTGGGTTATCAAGGACCAATATTTGGTGTCACCCAGCAATGGAGGATTTTAAGGTCATGGCATGATGGTGCTCACTCTGTGGTTAGTCATACACGAGTCAAACGTGAGCCAAAGAAGGCTTACGTTACGAAAAGTCCAGTCGTGTGGCTGTTAAAAAATGGAAGATGAAAATGGCTGTTATGAAGCAGTCGCTTCATGTCACCAGTGACGTGGCTTCCAGGCAAATAATGGTCTGCTGACACGAATTCGTCAGCTCGGCTCGCCCACATCCTCGATCAGGTAGGGCCAAAGAACCGAGCTGGAAGAGGGCAGGATAACCCAATCAAAAGCTCTAAACCAGCGCCAGGTCATCTGAAGCAGGACTGAGTTGAACCCATGTGAAAAGAGCTATAGTGAACGTTTAACACGTTGTGTGATTTTAATGATCGTACGTGTGAAACGCATCACTGAGCAGTAACATCCATGAGGGTTAAAGAAAGAATCGGTTAGAAGATTTTTGCTCCAATGATTTTTTTTTGTAATTGAAATATTCAAATTATTTCAGCTCGTTTTTATTTTAAGATCTTTTTACAGACCAAGTCACTGAGTTAACAATGAAATAAAACTTATTTAGCACTATTTTTAGAAAGACGTGAAAATACCTGTAATAATAGCAGGATCCATCCAACTGGCTGTTCCATCCCAGCTGAGGCTGTGTGAGATGCCTGCTGTTCCTGCTGGCCCTGCCGGCCCACCAATGTGGTTAACACTGCTAGAGGATGAGGAAGATGATGATGAGGAGGAGTTTGGGAGGCCACCGAAGTTGATATTTATGTTGGGCAAAAGAGCTCTCAGTCCGTCCTGCCACTCTTTCACATTTAAGCCGTCTATAGAGCCACTGTTTTCTGCAGAAGACAGAAAAAGCACGAATGTGTCAGTCCCCTCGGTTTAGACTGGAGACAAGTGATCAACAGTAGAACTGCATCGAATACAGATTTTATTTTCTCTCTATAAAAAAAAAACCTAATCAAATCTAGATAAAACATAATCATTATCTGCTTCAGCATGCTCTGCTTCTATTGGATGCAAAAGCTGACAAGGTGCCCCGGGTATCTGGTACCTGAGATGGGGATCCCTCCCAGCCCTGTGTTGTGCTGAGGGGGCAGATTCAGGTCCAGGATGTTACTGTGTGAGGCAGCACTGGCTGAGTGGTTCAAGTGTGTGAGGTTGTTTCGTGTGGGGATGCTCATCCAGGGGTGTCTGGTTGTCGGAGGCTGCTGCTGACTGGCCTGGCTGCTGTGACCGCCGGGGAAACTGAAGGAACTGTAGATGGCTCTGTGGTGGTGGAGCTGGTGGACGCGCGGTAGGCCACTGGGGAAGTGGTGGGAGCTGCTGGGGTTGGATGGTGGCAGGCTCAGACCGTGGTTGATGCCCCCGTGGCTGAGCAGCCCTGGAGAGGAGGGGCTCTGGTCCTGCACAGACAGCTCCTTCTCTATCAAGTCAGCTAAAGCCTTGCGGGTGACATCGAAAGGATCGAAACCCAGATCATCATCCTGTTGTTTGCTAGATGAGCCAAAGCCAAAGGCTGCCTGCCAGTCTGTTGAGGAAGAAACTGGCATTGTGTCTGTCAGCAGAGAAGACACCAGTTAGGAGTGCAAAGTTTAAACCACATTGTTGACACAATACGGGCTGCATTTATGAAAAGTTTGAAAGATTAATCAAAACCTTGTGAAAGTACAGAACACATTTATCAGTAACACAGATTTACTTTAAAATATTCTCCACCTAATGTATACTGATATACATTTTAGGCAGTTAGCTGTGGGACAAACACTGAACAAATCAGACAGTAGAAAAATAAGATGAATACCTGACGTAAAGAGGCTCTGTGGTTCAGGAGTCATGGGCCAGTCAGAACTGGTGCGGGGGGAACTGGGGAAGGGGGGTAGGCCAGCAGGGAGAGGGTTAGGATGTCTGAAGTTACTGTTGTCTGAAAAGAGCGACTGGGACTCTGCTGCGGCCCCCTCGAAGGGTGAACGGGCCGAGATGTCCGACATGCTGATAGGCACCACTAGGATTGGCTTGGTTAGACCAGGGGGAGGGGAAGGGGAGTCACTGGTGGGCAACTTCAAAATGAGACAGAAAAAAAAAAGCATGTCAGATTGTTGTAGATGTGACTTAAATCCTCTTTTTTTATTAAAATAAATCAGGTCGTTTCACCTGTTGTAACGTCTCTCCGTTCACCAAACCAAGTGACTCTGAAGTTTTATCATTTGGACTGCAAACACAACACACACAAGGTTAGGAGAAACAGTGACAGCAGTACGTTTGAAGTTCTAAAGAATCTGAAAGCACATTATCTAAAGAGTGTTTGTGTTACCTATTACTGTCACAGTTGGAGGAAAAGGGGGACAAGGCAGGACGCTGGCCTGGACCCAGCTCTGATTCTAGTCCGTCTGAATTACTAGCTTCCTGGTCTAGATAGTCTAGCAACGGAGGGGACTTCCGGTCTTCTGAAAGTCCGTTGGCCAGTTTGCTATGCCCGGACAATGTTGGCCACCCATCTTTACCATTGCTATTGTTGGTTCTGTTACAAAAGCGGGAGAAGAATCAAATCATGGAGCTCTACAGACACCGAGCTGTACGATGGAAAACAAATATATCAAATGACCTCTGTGTGGAGTTGGCTTTACTCTTCGACTTCTCTGTTCCACAAGCTGGAGGTTGTAGAAAGCTAGGATTTATTTTATAGAGGTCTTGGAGGAGTTTCTGCTCATACTCTTGATGTTTCCCAGCCTTAAATAATTAAATGAATAGACAAAAAAATTAAAATTAATTTAGCCCTGTTCCAAGTTAAAAAACAAAACAAAACTTGACACATCAGGGAAGAAAAATGTAAACGCTTACCTGCATCTCCTCTTTTGTAAAGCTAGCTGCTTCGTCCCCCAACTCATGTAGATACATACAATCAGGTTTGGGACATTGCATACTTTTGAGAAAATAACTGCAGTACTTTGTTGTGCCTAAAGATGCCTGTACGCCAACGAAAGAAATAGAAGTTCTAAGAAAAATACATCTTTTATACAAGTCTTCAGCTAAAAATTCACCTTTGAAGTTACTGGCAATTAAGTGTTTTTACTCAGCAACGTTCAATTCAATTTAGTTTATTTATTTAGCACCAAATCACAACAAAGTTGTCTCAGGGCACTTTACAGGAACATTCACATACATAAAAAAAGCCAATTAGTAAAATTCTCTATCTATATAAAAACAGAGGGCACATGTATTGGCTTTTGTTCACAGAACTTTTAATCACTGTCAATGGACAAGAGTAAATCATTAAAACCAGAGTAAACATGAACCAAATTGCGGCTAGATTCTTACCTTGAGTGTTCTGCCATCAACAACCACATTGTTAACACACTGTATTGCTCTTAGAGCATCTTCAGAACGAAGGTAGGTGACATAAGCGCTGGCACTGGGCCCCTGAATGACAAACAATAAAATTAAAAGTAAACACACAAGTCAAACAGAACTTCTGCATCTCTGTGTTTGAAACGGAGCATCGTGTGCTACAATTATCTTCAATATCAAGTGACTGTGAATGAATGTGTAAAATGACATTACATAATATTATAGTGCAAACTTCAAAAGCTTTAATATAAAATAAGTACTCAACCTCTCACCTGTGAACCAGCGTAAGATGTGCTATTGTTGATGACCACTTTATGGATTTTCCCAAATCTACCAAAATATTCTGGTCGTTTCAGGACCTTTAAAAAGAAAACAAATAATTGAGGCTTGGAGTCAATTGTTTTTATACATAAAAGGGACTGTACTTATATAATGTCTTTCTATCTGATCAAGACACTCGAAGCTCTTTACAACAATCTGTGTCCTTATTTACCCATTCATACACTCTACTAGATCTATACAAAGACCAATCCGAGCTTTATCACATTCATACACCAAGGGGACACACATTGGAGGCAATGAGGGGTTCAGTGTCTTGCCCAGGAACACTTCAACATGTGGCTGATGGCGGAATCGAACCCCCAACTCTTGCATTGGAAGACGACTGCTCTAACCACTCATCCACAGCTGCCTTGTATATTGTATAAGAGTACAATATTTGACACATATTCTCTCTACAAGCACATTTTATATTGGCTGTACCTGTGTGTACCAACCAAAATGTGGTAGTTAGTACATTTTCATTACTAAATTATGGCACCAAAATGTCACAGGTTATGATGCTCAAGTATTGCAGAAGTACTCACTTCCGGGTCAGCGAGTCGCTGTGAGAGCCCCACCACAAACACCAGGTTCCTCTGGACCACTCTGACGCTCGCCAGGTGCTTACGATTTTCTGTCACCTTCTGCTTTTTCTCGTTCTGTTTCTGCTTCTTTTCATTCTTTATCCTTTGGATCTCCTCCTGTGAAAGAGGCTTGTACACGGCAGGGTCCTCTGGGTATGGCTGCACAAATGCACACAGTTCAGTTTTAAACTTACCGAGTGGGAAAATGACTAAAACAAGCCATAGTTTAGTTTTTTAAGACATGCACACTAGGTTAGAAAAAAAAAAAAAACCTGTTCTCTAAGTGCAGGTATCACTGTTAAAAGTCATCACCTGCTTTGTAAGCTGCTGTTAAAATATCTTCAAGTTGCAATTAATTTTAGAACATGGTTTTCTCACCTTTCTGCAGGCGGGGCAGAGGCCATTCTCGTCTGTGCGGATGCGGTGCCAACAGAAGCGGCAGATCTGGTAGCCGCAGGTGCACGGGAAGAAATTGACATCATCAATCTCCAGCGGCTCCATGCACAGAGGACACTCCATGGGGTCGTCCTTCAGTTCAGGGCTGTGGGACATCCTATTGCACAGTGAGGTTGAGTAGTACTAAGGCTGGTCACAGAGCACAGGGCTGCAAGGAGACAATACACAGAGAGAGAGGGATAAGAGCTCACTGCTGAAAACTACAACTGAGCAGACCGTTTTATCATGTCTTCACAAATACTTTAAAGAAATCAATGCTTCAAAATTAACTTTCTTAAAGACTGTGTTAGATGAACCCACTTCTTATCAAAATCTATCTTTTACCAGTTCATCAGGCGCTCTAATAACTCAACTCACTTTTAACACTAGGGATGTTTTTTATGGTTCAACATTTTCTACAGCAGAAAAATCACTAATAATTGTCAACTCCAAGATACAATAACTTGTTCAGACCAGATGCATCATAAACATGTATATCCTGAAAAAAATGCTTGTTTTTAATCTCTTATACTCAAGGAGATGAGCATGGCGTGAGTCAACATTTGAGCACAGCTGTTGTTTTAAACTGATCCATCAATATATGATGAACAGAAGGGCAGCGCTGATTTATATTAAAACCAGATTTTTATTCACTGAGGAAATACCTTTTATAAAATATTTACAAGTTCAAATAAAGACTGTGACCACTGAGCTGCATTTTTCAGGGGAAATAGCTTTAAAAATAACAACTAGGCACAATAATGTGACTTGTTGCAAATAGGCTTCATCAGATTGGATGAGATATCCAGGAGAAGGAAAATACACGTACAGATGTGACAAACAACTAAGAGCAAAAGCTCTGCCTTCAGCATACTCTGGGGTAGGAATGATGCAGGTTAACATCAAGTCATGTCCTCTCAGTAAGCAGCAGACTGTCACTTCTGTCAACCTGTAGTTTGTTTAAAAATCTATTTAAAAAGGTAATTCAGCTTCCTGTGACCCTACGACCACAAAATAAATAAAAAAAGATGCAATCAGCAGGTGAGCTTACTTTGACCAAGATAACGATCTACTTGTTTTGTGCAGTTTGTAAAGAAAGTGCACAAAAGCTAAGACAAGTATTTCATGCACCACTCTGTTTATGTCAGAAATCAGGGTGTGGCAACTGGATCCCAGAGTTGGAACACAAAATACATGAGATGTTATATCAGTCGCTCAGGTCTGCAATAAACAACAACAACAACAACAACAACAACAACAACAACAACAACAACAACAACAACAACAACAACAACAAAACCATGCAAAAGAAGAGCTACAGTTTAAAGGAAACAGTTAAAATTATACAATGTTGACTTCAATTCCCTTTCTGCAGCATCATAAATAAAACAGAAAAATTACTATATCAAGAAATGTTACTGGACAGTGCTTTCTCTTGACCTAATGGTATTTTCTTTACAATTAGAGCACAAGTTTGTGACATTTTTTAGTTGAAATACACAAGTTTTTCCTGAATTGTCTGTTCATTGTCATGTTTATGAATACTCCAGTCAATTTGGAACGTCTAAAAAAAGAAAAGTTTGAAAAGTCAGAATGTGACAACGCTCGGAAATGTAGTCATTACGTTAGGAGCAACAATTGTTGAACTCCTGTGAACAACAGTAGTGTTGTCTGGCTGAAATACAAATATTAGAAACCACACGTTTGATCTTGAAAATGTACGCATTAGTTGGGTAATATTTTACAAGTCAGCCATTTAAAGCTTTTTTTTTTGCAAACACAAGTTCCAAAACTTTACTGTGTCTGACCAGCCCAGCTATAAGATGTTACTATACATTGTTAAATAAGTGACTGTAGTTCCTGATCATCTTCCCAGTACTAACATTTCTGACCACAGCCTCGACACTACAAGGGTCAAACACCTCTTCAAACCTGTAAGATTATTCTGTGATGTTCAGTTTAAAACAACTTGAATCCAAAATGTGCCCAGTGATTTTATCTGATCTTTGGGTTTAAGTTTATGATCTTAAAATTCTGACATATGCCTTTTTAAAGTGCTCGGCTGAATGTAAGAAGTGTATTCTTAAAAACGACCAGTGCTATAAAATAAGCAGAGAAAATGGATGCAAATACAGAGGATAGAAAATGATGAATATAATATTTCTGCTTGTTTTATTTGACAGCAGGCGAGTAAAATAATTCCAAATGATACATCTGAACTGGTCATTTCAGAGAGTGAACATCTGTGCTGCCAGCAATAATGAGATTTGTTCAAACACTTGGGTTTTATGCGTGTTTAAGAACTGTCAAATGAGCACAAATCTTGAAAAAGCCAGAAGCAACAAAAGCTTCAACGTTTAGTGTTAATGCGGATGTTTGACAACACTGCACACGTCATGCTCGACGTTCAAGAGAAACGCAACAAACTGTCTCATTTTAAATGTTAAAACCCGTTGGTAGCGGTTTAGTATCTGCCATGTTTTTACATGACAACACCGAAACCAGTGAACTCACGTCGTGACAAACACACAGACACGATGATGGAGTTTACTTGTTTAAAAGAAAGAAAAGCAGCCAAGATTTTAAAAGCTTGCCTAGACACCAGTGGTAAAGAAGACAGGCAGAAAGCTGGTCTGGAAACTTTAGCCTCTCGGTGTGTCGGAGGCTGCTTCAGTCTTTTGGACCTTTCCTTATTATGACAGATGTTATTTGAATAAGCCGGTCTGACAATTAGCACCAGCTAAACTGCCATTGTCACCACAAAAACAAAACATACAGAAATTATTACCAACTCAAAACTGACGCTCACAATTACTAAATGACTGACATGACGTTACGGTGCACATAAAGTGACAGCTTGAGGAATGCTAACGCGCTTAGCTTCAATGCTAACGTTCTCATTAAAATGTACGGGGTTTTGGAGCCGAGCTTACGACGCGGCCTAGAAAAGCTAACCCAAAACTGGACACAAGTTGCTGGCCTTATAACCAGCTGACAACGCACCAGGTCGTACAGATTACCTGGACAATGATATAGCAGGCTCGGAAAATCTCTTTGGTCAGTCAGTAAGCTTATAACAGGCACACCTGTCTTTTATTCGCTGATGTAAGACGGAACCGGACTTGATCAGCTAGCGTTAGCGTTACTTACCCTGTCCGTATTTAGCTTAGGATTCCACTCCAAAGGAGTCACACCAGATTGGGCGGGGGCTGGAAGCCAATGTACCTGAAATGGCTAAATTTCTATAAATGGTCACTTAGAATAACAGTAATCGCGTTGTTCTGTTATAATCAAAAGGCTACAAAGGTGTTTTGCCCCTTTCTTTTCTTGGTATTGTTAGGAGAATTTACGCTCAAACCACCATCTTAGCTAGCATTATAGTAGGGAGGAGGGAGTGGAGCAAATATTCAATACCACTGAGTCTGCGCAGATGGTGAGAGGCTTTATGGGAAATGAAGTTTTTACTTCATTTCCTCATTACTTCCTACTAAATTTCTGGAAAATAAATAAATACGGTACTGTAAATAAGTAAAACATCTTAGGCGGCAAAATTACGATTTTACTATGTTTTTAATTGAAAGGTTTAGTTTTGTACATTTTAATAAAATAACTAACAGTTTTAGTTTAATAAAACAACAAATGGTGTAAAATCCTCTGACCACTTCCCAACCCTGGTCCTTGAGGACCACCACCCTGCATGTTTTAGATGTTTCCCTGCTCCAACACACCTGATTCAGTGATAAATTACTTACTCAAGCTCTGTAGAAGACTGTTAATCAGCCATTCACTCAAATCAGGTGTGTGTCAGGATAGTGTTCTCCCAGGACCAGTGCTGGGAACCACTGGACTAAAGTATTACTGTACAAAAGCTTATAAATAATACATTATTTATAATAATGACAAATTATTATTTATAATCATTTATAAATGCCGCCGCTAAATTGGCCTGCTAAAAAGTAATGTTGTGTCATTAGATGTCTCCGTTTCATATCTGTCGTGATTTAGGGCACACATTTTTAGCATATTTTTTACCTTTGAGGTTGTTTTAAATTTTTAAACATGTTTCATGCTGCAGGTAAATGGTTTCAGTTCATAACTAAGAAACCAAAACTAGTGTGAGAATTATCCTGATGCATGCTCAATAATCCAGGTAGAAAAATCTAAAAAAGTTAAATCTGGTCCTCTGGACATTCAAAAAAAACAAAACAAAGCAAATCAACAAAAAAATGTAGAAACGTTTCGTCTCTCATCCGAGAGACTTTCTCAGTCTGAGGTGCTGTTTTCAGCTCAGTCTCTTAAATAGCACCTTCTCAGAGTGGATCAACCAGTTTGCTGCTGACAACCAAAACCAGCTGATCACATGCTCAAGAAGGACCATCAGCCTGACAATGGATCATTAGCACACTGATGGCTGTTTACTACTCACAGAGGGCTGAGTGATACTAGCAATCACAGCATTGTAAGAGGGGGACAGTTGAACCCGGAGGCCTCCACCCCTGTTTAATGATGGACGATTTCTTTTCACAAAGATGGCCTCCTTTACTTCTCTCTCAAACCATCGTTCCTCTCTGTCCAGGATGTGAACATCTTCATCCCTGAAAGAGTGACCGCTGGCCTGGAGATGAGTGTAGACCGCAGAGTCCTGGCCTGATGATGTTGATCTTCTGTGCTGGGCCATCCTTTTGGCCAGTGGCTGTTTAGTTTCCCCGATGTAAGACTGATCACCCTCCTGACACTGAACAACATACACAACATTGCTCTGTTTGTGCCGGGGGACTGGATCTTTGGGATGAACCAGTCTTTGCCGTAATGTATTTTGGGGTTTAAAAGCCACTGGGATGTTATGTTTAGAAAATAAACGTCTCAGTTTCTCTGATACTCCCTCAACATATGGAATGACCACTGGTCTGGGTCTGGGTTCCTCCTTTTCACCTGATGGCTGACTGGAGTCCTGTTTAGGTTTCTTCTCTGCTTTCAGGAAGGCCCAGTTAGGATATCCACATTGCTCTAGAGCAGGGGTGGGCAATTATTTTTTCCATGGGGCCACATGAGAAACAACAAATATTGTGGAGGGCTGGCACAAATGACTTTTTCATTCAACCTTTATTTAGACAGGTAAATCCCATTGAGCCTCGAGGACTCATTTACAAGATAGACCTGATTTCAACTTAACTCAATACTGCATAATATAAATAGTATTTCATTATTAAAAGCAGTACATAGCACTGTTTTAACAAGCTGGTAAGAGTATTTGTTATGATTAAGCAACGAAAAAACGAGGTTTCCTTACAAAAAATGTTGTTTATTCAATTAAATTTCACAGTACAATGGTAAACTGTTAACATTTTTACCATTTGTGATGTTATATTAATGATCATTTTCAGTCACATTCACCCCAAAACTCATTTTGAGTTTTATATACTGCTGGAAAAAGTTCTTAGCTTTGTAAATATATCACAATATTGTCTTTGTACTCCAAATATTATGAAACATCATATAATAGTGATCGTCACTGAACTGTGATTTCGAGTCCCGGTTCTTTACGTGCCTACATTTGTAGTCTAAACATCTCATTTGGTGTTTTTCAGTTCTTTTTTCTTGTTTAGTGAGAGAAGTTTAGTCTCTGTTGGGCTTTAACGGAAATGTAAAAGTCAGGTTGAAGGTCTGAGGTGGAGATGTGAAGCAAAGCTGACATCATCAGTGAGAGAGGATCTATATCTGGATTTGGTTAACTTCATTTGTTTACATATGTATTTTGTAATTCCCCTTACGGGGGCCGGTCAGAGTCAACCAAAGGGCCGCATGTGGCCCTGGGGCCGTACAACGCCCAGGTCTGCTCTAGAGCCTGTCTTGTGTAGGATTTCTCCTTCTGCCTGGCTCCTGAGTTAGTGGGGATGCTGTCTGCTCTGTGGTACAGAGTCCTGATGACTCCTAACTTGTGCTCCAAAGGGTGATGGGAGTCAAACTGCAAATACTGGGCTGTGTGGGTGGGTTTGTGGTACACTTCAGTTTGCAAATGTCCTCTATCAGAGACTGAGACCTCACAGTCCAAGAAAGCCAACCTGTCATTTTTTACATCTTCTCGTGTGAACTTGATATATTTATCCACAGAGTTGATGTGCTGCTGTTCAGTGTCAGGAGGGTGATCAGTCTTACATCGGGGAAACTAAACTGCCACTGGCCAAAAGGATGGCCCAGCACAGAAGATCAACATCATCAGGCCAGGACTCTGCGGTCTACACTCATCTCCAGGCCAGCGGTCACTCTTTCAGGGATGAAGATGTTCACATCCTGGACAGAGAGGAACGATGGTTTGAGAGAAGAGTAAAGGAGGCCATCTGTGAACAGTAAACAGCCATCAGGTGCTAATGATCCATTGTTATGCTGATGGTCCTTCTTGAGCATGTGATCAGCTGGTTTTGGTTGTCAGCAGCAAAACTGGTTGATCCACCCTGAGATGGTGCTATTTAAGAGACTGAGCTGAAAACAGCACCTCAGACTGAGGAAGTCTCTCGGATGAGAGACGAAACGTTTCTACATTTTTTTGTTGATTTGCTTTGTTTTGTTTTTTTTGAATGTCCAGAGGACCAGATTTAACTTTTTTAGATAGTGTGAGAATTCAAGAAAACCAAGAATGTAAATTTCAAATGACTTTTAATGCTATAAAACAGCAATGACAAAATCAATGGATAATCTGTTTTTTATTCATTAATGAGTTAAGTAGCTTGTTTTCAAAACAAAAAAAGGTTTTGTGCTATTCTTGCATCCAGAGGACAGTTTGAATATGGAAGTATTAAATTTAATCTGAAAAGAAAACCACTTTCTAATACTTACATTTGTTCCATCAGTCATTGCCTTTTATCTGAGAAACTACTGGCTGCTATTAGTAGTTAGTAGTTGGTAAGTTAGCTCAATGAAAGTAGTCTACCAACTTAACTGCAGCAACAAAGACGAGACATTTGCATTTTGACTCATCCACCCAACATGAAAGGAAGGAATGGATATTGCCAGCCACCTTTTCAGAATTTTAGACTAAGATCATGTTATGGTGCAAAATGACAGAATCTGTTCTGATCAAACCATTAAAATAACGTTATATACAATCTCATGTGATATCACTGAATGTGATGATCAGAGTGTGTGTTGTGAATGACTCTCAGCTACAAACACATCAAATTTTATCTCGGTGTATGTACAAGTAACTGAATTGTTGCCATTTTTGTTTTTCAAGGTCAGATGGCTGTGGCAACTGGCAACTATTTGAAATCAGGCAGACTGAAAGTGAATCAGGTGTAGGTGTGCGTCCAATAATTATTTAATGCAAGTTTTGTTAAAATTTCTTCAATGGCTCATGGGGTATTTTGCTAACAGAACGATAGACATGCACAGATATGCACATGTACAAATACACACACAAAAAGGTGATTTGTGCATGTGTGTGGGTGATAATAATGAAACGTGTCATGCACAATTAGAGTTTATTCATTCATTTATACAGTCCTAAAATTACACAATGATGACATGTTTTTAGACTAAATAACAATGACCAATAAATCTCTAACATTTAGATCGTAATGTCCAAAAAGCTTGGTTTGGGCCACTTGTGCGTTTGGATTTCATCAGGGTCCACAGACTCTAAAGTGAGCGTGGGAGAGATGGGGTGTGGTGACAAAAGGGATATCTTTGCAGCCAGGAGGCCCATCCGAACACAGCTGTCTGTGTCTCTCCCTCGGAGAATCCCAGACATTAAAGCACCTGCAAGACTGCCAGCACAGAGATACGCGTTTTTAGGTTGAATTCTTAAATCTTGCAAAGAAAACTAATGGCAAGGCAGTAACTGGAAAGAGGCAGAGTAACAGAAAAAAATGAATTTGTGAAAACAAAATTACAAGAAAAGTTAAAATGTCAGCACCTATCTCCTGCTCCTGACACATTTCTGATCTCCTCTGGTGTCACAGGCAGTGCTGGGTAGTGAAGAGCACAAAGCTGCCTTTTCTACAAACACAGGTACAGATAAAACAACACATTGTTAATGCAAGTAATGCTATCAATATTAATTTGTGTGAATACATGCTCACCTTTCTGAGCTTTCTTGGCTGCAAGTTAACAGAACCTGCTTCGCTGTGCTCTCCACAGAGCAGAACACCGCTGGGCCCGAGAGTCACCACCAGACAGTGAAGGTGCTCCAGAAGAGGGCGTGAGAGAGCCACAGCAACACTCAGGCTCTCCTCCAGGGTGTCCGGCAACACTGCCACAAGATTGACCTCAGTCAATTCAAATCAGTTTATTTGTATAGTGTCAAATCACAACAGAAGTCGTCTCAGGGCGCTGTGCAGAAACATTCTCATCGAATATGGCGTGCTTTTCAAGAACTCAGGTGGGGAAACTGTGGTTAGTCTATTGTGGCAAGTAGAAAAGAGGCAAACCAGCAGATGAGACATTAAATACACATTCAAGAAGAACATGTCACCTTCAGGGGTTTTGATTCCCAGGGATTTATTCATGACGCACAGCTCTGCCAGGTTTGGGGATGAATAGGACAAAGATTTCCAGGCATCTGACAAGAAAGGTTTACACGCCTTGTCTGCATTCGTTGGTTCATACCAAACTGTGACACACATGGGTGGCATGATTAAAGTCATTAATTGCTTCTGTTATCATCTGGTCTCTGTCTCTCTAGGCTTACCGTTGATGTTGTGCTTTCCTGCAAGAGAGCAAACATAGTTGATGGTGGAGACAGGGATGTTTCCATCAAGACACACAAGGGTGGCTGATGAAATCTGTTCTTCAAATTGGGAAACCTACTCAAACATTTTTAAAGACACACAACAGAAGTAGTTATGGACTTTCATACCATGCCACCTTTTAAACACGGGATCTTCGAGCTCTTAAAATTAAAATAATAAATTCAGGAAGATGTCTAAAAAGAGATTTTAAAACAAAACTGGATACAGAGCTGGTCTGAAATTATTTTTCTATTTAATTCTTCAGAAAACAGCATAAAAATGCCCGTTTCATTTTCACTAAACTCAAACTACTCTCATAATGACATAATAATAATGTTGATAACAATAATATAATTATTTTTAATTAATAATAATTATCATCAATGATTATCTGTAGTGAGAGTAGGAACCAGGTGGAAGCGAGCCTGGAGAGGTAAAAGTAAGTTCTAGAGCAAAAACACACAAGTAATGAAAGAAAAGTGTGGTTCTAATATACCAGGGGTCTGCAACTTGCGGCTCTGGAGCCACATGCGGCTCTTTGGTTCCTCTGTAGCGGCTCTTTGAAGCTTTGACCAAAACTGACATAAAACTGAATTTTATTGTTTGTACAAAAAACAAAAAAGGATTAATTCCAACAGTTTTCTTGTAATTTATTTTACAAATATGTGAACACCGATGCGAGTACAAGAAGAAACATATCCTGATGCATGCTCAATAATCCAGGTAGAAAAATATAAAAAAGTTAAATCTGGTCCTCTGGACATTCAATAAAAACAAAACAAAGCAAATCAACAAAAAAAATGTAGAAACGTTTCGTCTCTCATCCAAGAGACTTCCTCAGTCTGAGGAGCTGTATTCAGCTCAGTCTCTTAAATAGCACCGTCTCAGAGTGGATCAACCAGTTTTGCTGCTGACAACCAAAACCAGCTGATCACATGCTCAAGAAGGACCATCAGCCTAACAATGGATCATTAGCACACTGATGGCTGTTTACTATTCACAGAGGGCTGAGTGATACTAGCAATCACAGCATTGTAAGAGGGG